TAACATTTTATGTTCGTGTACTTGATAAATAGCCAATTCCATTATGTAAGTGTTTATGATACTACCTGGGCGATTTTATCCTGCTATATTAAGATGGATTAAAATCCAGGGTTTAGTGAAAACTTACCGCAAATCTCATAACACTATAACTGTCCCTTACCGCTAATTCAGAGGTTATAAACATTTATAAGGTTTTAATCTATTCGACATACTTTTCTAAATGATTTTTTATTTTTCAAAAGAATGGATAGCAAACAATGAATACTCTTTTCGATAACTTCATAAATCAGGCTCTACAGTTGTACATACATTATAGTGAATGAATGAATGAATTAGTGTTATGGACAACATTAATGCTGTTTAAATAACATCGAATAAATAATATCAATGGATTACAGTTCAACAGCATCAACATAAAATAAGCTGAATGTCAGAAAAACTTAGAAAGGTTAATATTACAAATTCATGAATTTATAGTCTCTACTGGAGACCAGAGCAGTAGTAGGGACTGGTTGGACTTGCTTCTTTTGAACACAGAGCACTGGTTGTTTGAGGCGAATTCCAATAGTCACTGCTGTTTGTAGCATGCGGTGCTTCGATGATTTTGGCAATTTATTAGGCACTATAATCATAGAGAAGGATTCTTCCACGCTGGCTGGCTTTGTCGCCGGCCGATTTGCACCAGATGGTCCAATATCGAACTGTTAATGGTCTTAAATACACCTTTACTTAGCCATACTGCGAGATGTTCTCGAGCACAAAAAATCAAGTCCCAAGAGCACCGGCCAATATAACTCGCTCCACAAGCGCAGTTGAATTGGCAGGTACAACTGGAATTGGCTAGCTAGTCTGGGTACTTCATCTTTCAGTTGAGGTAGCACCATCAGTCGTGTAGAGAATTTGTGTAGTTCACCAGAATTAAAAGTTCTTTGAACTGATTTTCTTAATTTCCTCGTAATTATCTCACTTAGTAATATCGCCCTTGAATTGTAGTCGTATATAAAGTATCCGGATAGAGCAGTAATTCAAACACCACAGCAGACAGTTTTATGAGAACAATCCTCCTACTCAACCGTTTACAAGCCCCTCTGAAATTAAAGAATCAAAGGAAATTTGATAGTTGATAGTGTGCCAACGTTGTATGTATACATTGACTTAATTTTGTCTTGGTACATCATTTTCCTACAAAAATAGCTAATATTTTTGACGTGATTATCATCCTCGTGACACCTCCAACGAGATACAGGTTAATTTTGTTTTCTACAGGCTTTCGTGATTATGATTTTGTGTTTTTTTTTATGAGATAAATTCAGTCTCCAATAACTCCTCAAGAACCCTAGTGAATTTGCTGACTGTACTTTTATTTTTATATTTGGAAACGAGAAGGCTTAATAAATCTTAGTTGGTTATTTTACGAAGCATTGATTTAACTCCAAATGTAACTCATTATCTCGTTCAGCTCTCGATGTGCTTCCAGATAGCTTTCATTCTTATGTTTGCAGTGGCAAAGTATAGCTTTCCAGCTTCAATTCACCTGAGGTATTCGGTTAAATGGATTTCAAGAAATCAGTCAAAATTGTGAATAAATGCGCCTCTCTAACAGATGACACCAAAGGCGAGTTATAAGCAAAGTTAGGCACTGAACTAATGGTATTTAATACAAGGCTTTTGGCCGTGTGGCATGTGTAAGGATGTAGTAGTAACTAATAGAGGGTAAACTTAAGTCTCACGTATCCAAAATCAGTGTGCTAATGACAAATCAATTATTCATAGGTTTTTTATTAAGTCAGTGAAGTGTGACAGCAGTCAGTGCTGAGACACTTGAGTCAAACTATTTATGGCAACCAACAAAAATATAAGAGGAAACCAATACTAAATAAAGTATGGTCAACGTTAAAGCAAAAACTCACGGAGGGATTAGCTGTTGAAGCTATAAGACGCCTCTAGTGTTTGCAATAAACAAACTCGAGGAAACCCTAATAGATTAGTGTGCAATGCCCACCTAATGGTGCTCGATGTCTTTTGTTCTTCCAAACTTGCAGGCAACTATGACTACGTGTCCGACGGAAGTATTCTTATTTAAGCTTATCTTGGATATACGGATATATCTGTGACTGGCTTGCTGGTTTCAACGTAAAACCGTCTTGCACCGATGTGAAGCCGTTCTAGTCGCCACACTTCACTCAGCATACAAAGCAAGAGATGAAAGTAAAAAGAAATGCAAAATAGAGATAATAAACAGAGATGTGAGGCAAGAAGAATAGTAATATGGAAAAACAATATACTTATATTGGATATCGTAAATCAAAAGGAGTGAATGCATCTGCACCAGTCAACCACAGACAACGACGATTTCCAGCCATATCAACAATTGTCTCCAGAATTCATTGGTTCCTACCATCCGGAGGACCCCAACCTGGAAGTCAGGCAGTCTACACCTCCCCATGCGGTGGCTGACTGGCTTAAACTAGCTCTTGTGGATTTCACTAACAGACGAAGTCATGTTTCCGTTTGACCACCACTAACTAACCCTTTTCCAACCTGATTCATCATTTGTCAGTTGACATTGGTCGTCCATGAATGGCTACAGATGCGTTCATGCATGCATGCATGCGTAACACATGTTCTAACCATCTCGCTCAATCGTTGTAAATACTTGACAACCTCGTCGATTGATTTCCCCTCCCACCTACCTAACACTCGACGAAGCCTAACTTCAACACACACACACACACGCATGGGATCTAGGACGCAGACATGCATGACCAAAGACAGCTAGTCGGATTTTTCGTGTCTTTCACTCTCATTGGTCATGTCTCACTCACAGTTAACCACAAAGGAAGACAGAGTAAGCTGCTGAGCAGTACACATACCCTTTGGTCGACAGCCAGCCGGATATCACGTCTACGCCAGAGACAGCGTAAACTGGCATATGCGAAACGAGCCTGCCTTCTGTATCCATATCCATGCTGAGATTCTGTCAGAGATCAACCCGTTGACGCTGGCTGATGCAACTTCCCAAATAAGTCAACACGCTCAGCCGCCATTTCACCCTTTGTCTATCTTTAGGCTAGAAGTCAATGTAGTCCAGTCATTCCTGTAGCATCATCTTATATTTGGCGGGATATATGTGTGACTTTGATTGTCTCTCCTGACAGCTAAGCACTGCTACAGAATCAAATGATGCCTTCAAATGCAATCTGGAGACTGCTGAACTCTGAAAAACAAGCTTACTTTCCAGACCGGGACAAAAGGTGAAGATGTGAACAATGAATTCTCGTCTGCGTCTGAAGCTTATCTGATTTTCACAGGTTTGTTTTCTTCAGCTCCAGTTAATCCTAGCAAAACTATAAGACCTAGAGTCAAGATGATCGACCTTTGACTGTCACATGAAGATTTGCCTACTTTTTTTTTATTTATAATGATCAGCAATGCAAACTTCTAAGATGGAACTATCTGTTATTCTCATAAACCGACTTCTACCCTGGTTAGACTGGCCATAGTGCCCAGGTTCTATTCTTATGTAGTCACTAATCAACCGCTAACATCCTTAATGACGGTGATTCTCCTAGGCTGAATTTAGTGCTATGTAGAATTGCAAAGAGGTAACCTTTGTGGGTTGTTCAGCATAGTAATCCATGGATGCTGTCAATATGCTGACTCAGGAGGTTTCCTGACTGTGTATTAAAATCACTAAGACCACTTTATCCGAGCGCCTTGCTTTCAGTAACAAACTATACAACTTCTGGTAAATCTTCTCAATTCGCCAAACAGAGGAGTTATTCGAAGCTAGTTACTGTATATGTGTGTGTGAGTCGACTGGCCTAAACCTAGATTATTACGCAATTTTTATCCATGGTTGACTAATGCAAATAGCGAACTCAAGCGGTACACTAATCGTTAGATAGCAAAGCTAAATGTCACAACTGGAGAAAGCAACTAACTGTGTAATGATTCAAAACGGCACAAGCAGAACAGGTTTTCAAATAATGCTGAGTATTCGAGTAAAAGAGATAGTTGTGTCGGAGGACCAATTTGTATAACTTTGTCTTTCTTGATCTTCAATTTTCAAAAAGCAACATCACGCACCTCATCATCTTTGTTGCTTGTCCACACACACTGACTGTTAGTTTCGAATTCAAAAACACAAGTGCACTACCCCGTCTAGGAACTAAGGTTTCCGAAACCCACTACCTAAACTCTCCATATCCATGAGTTTGGTTTAAGAAATACTGGCATTCGACTTCATGCAAAAAGAGACTATGTTGAAAATGACAATCGAAGAATTTCCAGTCGTTGATGGAGGCGAGTCTACTCTCCATCTTATGAAGACACTTGCATGCAAGTCTTGATCTGTCATATTAATGGATTTTGGTTTACTTCATCAAACAAATATATTGAAAGTTTATCAGATTAATGGAGTCTCCTCAAAATTTGTCAGAAATAAGCATAATACTCAAACACAGGGAATGCGCCTCTGCATCAGTTTAACGCTGGTTCCTGAACAAATAATAATAATGTTGTCCATATAATTGAATTTTAGATTTTCCCTTCGATTCATTGGACCGAAGTGCTCGGTCTCAGGTTGACATGTCTGTCGGCTTCTTGTGCAGATGCTTCGACGATATCTGGGCATTTAAATTAGAATTTAATTTGTGGATGGTGACTAGCAGTGGAATCCAGCCAGGATGCGCATTTCGCCTTATTTGGGGCTCGTAAGCTGGATGATGTACCTGCATTCCCTCGGTGAGTGATGATGTTCCCCCCCCCCACCCCCCGAGAGGCTCGAACCCAGTGTCCTGTCAACCAACCTACATCGTTGAGAATTCAAAATTGTTTGACGTATATAGCAAACACCAACAACGCAATACACTACTTGTATAATTCTATAAAAGAAAAAAACCTTTGCTAAAAAGCAGTTAATTTTATCCAGTATACAAAAAGAGTACGAACATCATTATTTGCAAATATCATAATGTACAACTGACACACACACACACTCAAGTTAGTTCATCTTTCCACTGATTATAGAAATGTTCTGATCTTTTTGACACCACGTGTAAAACAATCAGTAGATCACGACGGACACTAAATCTACAAAACACACACACAAAAAAAAAACAGGATTATTTTCATTAATAAAACATTGTCAAAATTGAGACGCCTTTAGCAGAATACATCCCAAAAAGATACAAGCAAAGAGATTGTGTAGTGCGAGTAATCAGCGTTGTTATTTTTCTCACTGCACTATCTTCAAAAAAGGAAAAAAGGAAATGTATGGCATACATTTGACTAAATGCTTCACAATCGAGTGTTCGTATTTCAGAAAATCAAACAAATCCATGTAAGAGCGAAATTTGGGGACTGTAGTAGAATATAATTCCATATTTTGCCAATATAACACACACACACACACAAAGTGTGTATTATTATTCCTTTGGGATTCGAGTAAAACATCTCCTCTGTGCCCTATTTTCTACCGCCCTCTTCAGATGACAGATTGAATAATTCCAAAATAGAACGTTGCACTGATGTGCAGCACTTCTAATCACCACACTTTACTCAATACACAAAGCCAAAGAAGAAAGTAAAAAGAAATGAAAAACAGAGACAGTAAACAGAGGTGTGAGACAAAGGAATAGTAATAACAAGGAACAAAACAGTTTCATTGGAAATCATAAGTCACAAGGAGTGGATGCATTTGCGCCACTGAGAACGATTTTGAGCCATGTCACCAATTGTTTCCAACCATTGCTGATTGCATTCCCTAGGACCCCAACAAGGAAGTCTACACCTTCCTACATGCTGCCATGTTTTCGTTTGACCGCCGCTAGCTCTTTTCCAGGCTGACCCTATGCCAGCTAACATTGGCCGTCGATAAAGGCGATGGACGGCTACGGATGCATACATGCATGCACGCATGCGTAACACATGTCCTAACCATCTCAATTGATGTAACTTCACAGCCTCGTCAATTAATTTCCCCTCCCTCCTTACCTAGCACTCAACGCTTAACCTCACAATGTTGCTCACCCTATTATATCACTTCACACGGCAGATAGATCGCAGGCATCTATGATCGAAGACAGATAACTTTTTCATGTCTTCCACTCTCAGTGGCTAGGTATCACAGTCAACCATAAAGGAGGATGAAGAGGACTGCTGAGCAGTACACACGCACTTTGGTCGACAGCCACTCGGATATCACGTCTACGCGAGAGATGATGTAAGCTGGCATATGTGAAACTAGCCCTATGTATCCATGCTGAGATTTCGTCAGAGATCGACCCGTTGGGGCTGATGGTATTTACCAAGTAAGTGAAGCGGTCAACGTACTCTACCACTTTACTCCCTATTTCCAAACTAAGAGTCAGTGTGGTCCAGTCCAGTCCTGTAGCATCATCTTACATTTGGCGGGAGCGAATCCCATGCCAAACATTCGTAGATCGCAGCTCAAGGTGTTCAGAAGACTATGCATTTTGTCAGCGTCCTCGGCTAGATGGACTATATTGTCTGCATATTCTAAGTCAGCGAGATTTTTTATTTTTATTTTTGATTACAGCTTGATTCCACACCGTATTTTTGGTACAAGTGTGGAATTTTCAGCATGGATATCGGTAGCCCAAAATTCGCAGGCCGACCATAGATATCAGGTGTGCGTCGGCGTAGGCTCGAACCCCGGACCATGTGCATGATCGGCGAGAGTCCTAACCACTGTGCCACCGACGCAAGTCAATCCCTGAGTCTCTGAAGTGAGTTAGGGTTAAGTCCATTAGAACATCTATGATGAAATCGAATAGAGATGGGGATAATGGGCATCCCTGACGGACACCAATAGTCGTCACCACTTCAGATGACTACTCGCCGTAAGCCCATACCTGGCAGCATGAGTTTGAGTAGAGTGCCTTAATCAGTGGAATGTATTTTCTCGGCATTCCTTTTACGGCCAAGCATCGTCAGAGTACCTCTCGGTCAACAGAATCGAATGACGCCTTTAGGTCAAGAAATATAATGATTTCAGGATTTCATCATGAGCCTATGTTCAACAACACTTACTGATCTATCTCTTAATACCTTTTCCCAACAGTCTTTACTCAGTTGCATATCACACTGATGAATTAATGTGTGTGAAACACAAATGCAAAGTTCTACGTGTAAAGCAAACAACAACAAAAGAAAATATTCAAAAATTACCCATCTCGTCCGGTTAATTTTTTAATTGTCCATTCTGGTGAACATATAGCGAATTTCTTCATTTTCTCATGTTCGAAATAAACCTGCAAGTAAGTAAGTAAGCAAACCAAAGTGGTCTGTTTTATATACCAACCTTATCTATTTATCTTAATATATATACAGGTAAATAAACATTTATTCACTTAAAACAAGAACTTTGCACAGATGTACACCAGTTACAGTCCCAACACTACCTCCTTCGTGGAGCACACGAACCAACACAATACAGTACACAAAGATTCAAAGGTGAGAGAGATAATAAACAGCAATGTCAGTGAGGCAAAAACAATAATGATAAGGAAGAACAATATACTTTTACTGGATATTATAAATCACAAGGAGTGAATGCATCTGCACCAGTCAACCACAGACAACGACGATCTCCAGTCATATCAACAATTGTCCCCAGAATTCATTGGTTCCTACCATCCGGAGGACGCCAACCTGAAAGTCATTCAGTCTACACCTCCCGATGTGGCGGCTGGTTGGTTTAAACTAACCCATACTGGCGGCCTGCTTAAATCTTGGGCTACCAAAATTTCCATCCTACATATTGCATCTATTTCCTCGGATTTATTTTGTTTTAATCATTCAATTATGTATCCAAGTCGCATTACTTACTCTCGCGATTATTTAAAATGTTTTCAACCTGTTGATTTACGAGTATATAATAACGTTAAGAAAAAGCATCATGGAGGTTGGCAGAGATCATTAAAGTGTACTCCAATGCATCAGATGACTGTTCCTGTGATTATGAGCACAAATTGCAGGTCATTATCGAACAAGATTAACTACTTGCATTCTCTATTATACTCAAATGTATATTGTAATACTGGTGTAATCACTCTTCAAGAGACTTGGCTCCATGATTCATATGACGACAATTTAGTCTCCTTAAGTGGGTTCACAATCTACAGACAAGACCGATGCAGCTCGAAGAAGAAGAGAGGTGGTGGTGTTGCCACTTTTATTAATTCTCAGTGGTCTACTGCCAACAACGTCTGCTTCAAATTCTCAAATGACAATATTGACTGTATAACTGTAAAATGTCGACCTAAACACTTACCTAAGTATAGCTCCATTTTTGTCACAAATATCTATATCACACCTTGTTGCAGTCCCTCAGAACTATCTATCTTCGCTGATGAATTCACTATTTTTGCTGCTGCTTCGTTTGGTAACTCCTTATCTATAGTGACTGGCGACTTCAACTCCAGCGACTGCAGTTTTATTACATTGCTGGGCCATGAAAATGTTGTTAATTTCCCAACTCGACAAAATACTTCACTTGATTTAGTATTTATAAATGATTCTGGAATATACGAAGCTCGTAAAAGAGCCCCGCTCTTCAATTCTGATCATTGTATTGTACGAGTCTTACCCAAAATTTACGGAAAGTTACACAGTAAAGCCTTCTCAAACTTGTCTAAGAAAGTTGTTCACAGATGCTACTCAAATGAGAACGTACATCATCTTAGAAACATGCTCAGTGACACAAGATGGGATTTGTTTAATGATGATTCACTTGATGACAATATCTCTAATATTACATCCTATCTGAAATTCTGTTTTGAAATCTGTTGTCCAAAAGAAACACTATTCGTCAAATTTGACCGTTTCTCCTCGCCTCAACTTAAAAAGCTTCGTAGAGAGAAGGAAAAACTATATAAAATCAAAGATAAAATTGGTGTAAAAAGAACTAACTTCTTAATTAAGTCTGAAATGCAGAGGTTGAATGTAATATATAACCAGAAATTCATGTCCTGCAAAAATCCTTCTAATATGTGGAAACTATTTAAGGAAATCACTGGTGGTAAGCAGATAAACAATATTCCATATTCTTTTGATGTATGTACTCTTAACAAATCTTTTATTTACTCTCCCTCAAATGCCATGCTTCCCAGCATCACTTGTGTTAATAATAGCCCCTTTCCAGGTTTTAACACAAATGATGTTCAAAAGTGCCTCAAGTCTCTAAACCCTTCCCAGAGCTTAGGTCCCGATTATGTACCTAGTATTATTTTTAAAAATGTTCTGATATTCTGTGTCACCCTCTTACTGATCTATTTAACAAATCTTTTTCCGATAATATTGTGCCTGCCGTTTGGAAGGACATTAAAGTTGTACCCATACCTAAATCTTCTACTGGAGCATGTGTCAAATTTAGACCCATTGCTATTACCTCTCCTTTTTTGAAAACTATGGAGAAATTACTTTTACTTAGTCTTGAACCTTCGCTTAAATCCTTTAATGACCCTAAACAATTTGCCTATAAGCACAGTAGAAGCACTTTAGATGCAGCTGCCGTCTTATATCATAACATTGCTTCCAGTCTAGACAAGGGGGCTAAATTTGTTCGTTGCGCCTTCCTAGACTATACATCTGCTTTCGACTCGGTCCCTAGGGACATCTTATTAAATAAACTTGCTGCTAGTCAAACAGAATGTTGGGCTGTTAACTGGTTACATTCCTATTTCTCAGATAGAAAGCAGTACACCGTATATAAAGGGAAGTCTTCCACTTCATTGCCTACTGAAGCTGGTGTCCCTCAAGGTGCTGTTCTTTCTCCTTTTCTTTTTTCTTTCTTCTTGCATGACTTGCCTCACTCTGATGAAATAAACTTTGTGAAGTACGCTGATGATTTAACGGTTTCAATGGCTGTTAACTCCCAGCTAGATTGTACTAAAATAAATAGCTTTCTATCGGAAGTCAGCAAATGGTCTGAGTCTAACGGTCTTAAACTGAATCCTTCTAAGTGTCAAACTGTTGATTTCAGCTTAAGATGTAAACGACAGTTAAAAGAAGTCATCGATTCTCATGACACTTGTAAAATTGACGACAATGATATAGGAATCAAATCAGAAATTAAGTATCTTGGACTCATTCTCTCTTCTGATCTCTCCTGGTCTTCCCATGTCTTAGCAATCTCCAGTAAAATATTCCGCTTGACATTTTACATTAAGAAGTTAAGACACTCGGGTATAACTCAACCCCTCTTTACAGTTCATAAACTCTTGCATCCTACCTATTCTTCTTTATTGCTCACCCTTATTCTTTCCTGGTTTGCTTAAAAAAGACTATGTCACAATTCGTAGAATACTGAAGACTGTCAGTAGGGTGAGTGGTGTCCCAGTGGACCACATAGTTAACGTCGTTGTCGATAGGCACTTGACTTCGTGCAATAAATTTGCTAAAGGGATTTTGTCTGACTTGGAGCATCCGCTTTACCCTCAGCTTTCACCTTGCATCTCCTCAGGTAGAACAAGGAGTAACTTCAGAAAACTGTATGCTCGCACGTCTAAGTATAAGAATTCTATGATACCATACTTGGCACGTATTTTATGTGATGAAAATAGTGTCAGGCAAGAATTAACTAACCTTTTTTCATCTAGTAAATAAACAATTTCCTCCATCCATCCTTATATACCTTCAAGTTTTACTTTTATTACTTCTATTATATTTATGGTCCTGTTACTTCTCTGTTTTACTCTCATAATTGCAAACACCAACTTATCTCCATGACGGCTGTAATCTTTGTTTTTCCCTTCACCATATCATGTAGAAAGAACATTATATTCAATATTTTTAAACATGTTAGGATTTCTATACCACATTGCCAATACTGTGTGACACAAGCCAACGGCAATTTTCACTTGTATTCTTATTATTATTACCCTAGCTGTTATTATTATCATTATTATTTCCATTTTATATGCTGCATGTTTTTGACACTACCTCTATTGTAAATGTGGAAAATTTTCTGTGTGATTAATTTTATTTATAATTTGAGGAAATTAGATGCAATATTGTGATTAATGCTGAAAATTCCATTCTGTATCACAAGTACTGTTTTTGGAATAAAGTAAATCATCATTATTATTATTGTGGATTTCACTAACAGACCAAGCCATGTTCCCGTTTGACTACCACTAACTCTTTTCCGACTTGATTCATCCTATGTCAGCTGACATTTCCCGTTGAGGAAGGCGATGAATGGCTAGAAATGCATGCATGCTTCACAACCTTCCCCCTCCCCATCCACGTAACACTTGACTGAAGCCTAACCTGAATATTTCTCACCCTAACACACATGGGAGGTAGGACGCAGACACCTATGATCAAAGACAGCTAGTCGGGCCTTTCATATCTTTCACCTCCAATGACCACGTCTCAGTCACAGCCAGTTATGAAGGAGGACGGAGGTATCTGCTGAGCAGTATACCCATCCAGTAATCGATAGGGTGCTGGATATCACGTCTACTAAGCCAGAGATGGTAGAGATGAAACTAAGCATAAATATTCTTTATCCCATGGAACCGCATTCTGTTTTGACCACTTAATACTTTTCTTTTGAACAGTCGAAGAGCCAAAAAACCAATTCTCACCTCTGGAATTACATCCGTAAAAAATGTCTAAGTGAACGGTATTATGAGATGTCCATGCCTAATTATAACAGGCAATCACCACTATATCCAGAAATAAACGCTACAGACATCGGAATTACTTAGACACTACCCATATCGAATGAAAGTAGTCCTAAAAACACAGTGATAATCATATGCACAGATTTCCTGTACATTCTTAGCTCGGAAAGCCCAGTTTTCACTTGCATCAGCAACTCTTTCTAGCTTCATTTTTATATTCCAGAACAGGGACCATACATAACCGTCTGGCTTCAATCCACTGAAGATGTTTTTACGGGACGACTTCCAAGTTGTTGATAAAATACTAATGAGTACTCCTCGCTAGAATACAACTCCAAAGAGACATCTAAGTACTATTCAACAACTACTTGATTTTCAATGAGCCTTACAATTCAACCTGATCAATTATACCTTAGTAGACTAACAGGGATCAAGATCCCGTTTCATAGACAAGAATATAATCCAATTTAGTCAAAGGTAACTGTAAATATCACAGAATTATAATTGATTCTCTATAAATACTTTACCTCTAATGCATTGTCTTCAACTGTATAAAGGCCTTTCGGATCCCAAGGTGGAGGAGGCTGATTTCCACCGAAAACTAACTTCAAACAATCCACAATCCTACAATTACAAAAAAATTAATAGTCGGAAATAAGTTTGCTACACTGAAGTGATATGACAGCTGCCTACTAATGAGTAGCTAATTGCGAAATTATAAAAACATCACGCAATAAGGTGAGAGATTTGTAATATCCGCCCAGGTAGGTGGTCAGTGATTACATACAAGAACTGCTAGTGCTAAGTAATCCTCTAAAAGCCTACTTATGAAGATAAATAAGGCATTAGGAAGCCTCCAGTTGAAGTTCTAAAATCCCCTGTCAATATTAGCCGAAAAAATAAGACAGGTATTAAAGGTTAATTGCTTCATTGAGCCGATATTATTTATTTATTTAAACGCAGAAAAAACCTGGTACAATATGGCACCAAGATAGATGCCTCACACAATAATAATAAAACAACATAGATTCAAAGTAAAAATATAACTGGAGAACGGATGAAGAACTTCATCTGGAAGGAAAACACTCATGCTTAACAAGTTCAAACACTATTCGTTAACTATCATCGAGAAGGGAAGAAAGAAGGAAATCGAAACACGTTCGCCACTGATTACGATTCTTGGCCATATCCGATAACGTTTCGAGTCATCGATTCGAGCTATCTCGAGGACCCTAACCAGGGAGTCGTGACACACCAACCGATGCTAATCTAGCACAAACATCCTTCATCCCACGACGCCACGTCATTGAACTGGTCACCCCTCCGCCTTTTCCATCCCCTCCCAGTGCTGGTCAGCGAACAGATACCTGTACGGAGGCCTCTGGGATAACATTCGCAGCAAATGTCCAAGCCACCGGAGCCGGGGTTCCCAGATGACGACACTCAGTGAATGGTGATCTCCATTGTGTTGAAACATACGCCACTGAACCTCAGAATTACTCACGTGATGATTCCATCGAACGCAAGCAATCCTGTGGAGACAGCGATGATCGAACACGCAGAGTCACCGGACATCCTCAGCCTACTCGGAGAGGCCATGTTTTACAGGCATACAGCAAGACAGCCCGCACCGAAGCATTGTATACACGACCTTTCACGGCCAGGCTAACGTCGTGACAGCGCCGTAGGTGGCTCAAGTTGATGTATTCCATCCTAGCCTTCATTATACGGTTGGAAATCTCATCCGTCACTCCTCCGCCAGCACTCACACAACTACCCAAGTACACAAACTTATCAACAACTTCGAGCGGTTCACCCGCAAGAGTGATTGCAGGTACAGGATCCTAACAATCTTATAACAGTACTTTGCACTTAGACGGCGGAAAGTACATACCATACTTACAGACACTGATCGCCAACTGATTAAGTGCGATTTGGGCAGCCTGCATGCTATCGCACAGTAAGACGATATCGTCTGCATACTCGAAGTCGAAAAGTTTATCTCCAGGTAGCAGATCTACACCACCTTCACTTACATCCTTCACAGCTGACTCCAGAATGTCATCGATGGCAAAGTTAAAGAGAAATGGAGAGATTGGGCAATCGATCAAAGTTTTAATCATTCTCAATTTGTTGTGGAAATTACCTTAATTTTTATTTGATATCCTATTCGCTATTACACATTTATGCTCATGATAATTTATGCATCTTTCGTGAACTGTGCTAATTCCATTGTGATCTTACTCAACAAATCGATAATATTTTAAAAAGACACCGGTAGTGTTAATGACGACTACTCTAGAATGCTCTATGTATGTAAACATATTTATAACTGTAGAGCCAGAAAAGCATATTCTATGCTCAAGTTTTTGTTTTTTATATAAAGAACGGATACTGAACAAAGAGTACTCTTCTCGATAACTTCATCATCAGGCTCTACAGTTATATATACATTATAGTGAATGAATGAATGAATTAGTGTTATCAACAACATTATTGTTATTGTTTAAATAACATCGAATCAATAATAATAATAATATCAATGGATTACACTTCGATAGCATCAACATAAAATAAGCTGAATGTCAGAAAAATTAGGAAAGATAATATTACAATTTCATCAATTTATAGTCTCTACTGAAGGCCAAGGCAGTAGTAGGTACTGGACTTGCTTCTTTTGCACACACAGCACTGGTTGTTTGTTGCGAATTGCAATAGCCTCTGATGTTTCGAGCATGCGGTGCTTCGATGATTTTGGCAATTTATTAGGTACCCGGTAGATGATGATAGAGAAGGATTCTTCCACGCTGGCTGTCTGGCCGGTTTGCACCACATGGTCCAATATCGAACTGTCAATGTTTTTTCACTACACTTTTACTTAGCCATGCTGGGATATGTTCTCGAGGGAGCACGGAAAATCAAGTTCCTAGAGCAACGGTCGATATAACTCGCTCCACAAGCGCAGTTGAATTGATAGATACAATTTGAAGTGGCTAGCTAGTCTAGGTACTTCATCTTTCAGTTAGAGTAACACCATCGGTCGTGTAGAGAATAAGACGTGTAGTTTGCCAGGATTAAAAGTTCTTTGAACTGGTTTTCTTAAGCTCCTCGTAATTAGCCCACTTGGTATGTCACCCTTGACTTGTAGTCGTATATAAAGTGGCTTTTTTTTACAGATAGTGAATAGTCCTTTTCCGCTTTCTTTGTCATGTGTTTCTTGACAATTTTTTAGGAATAGCTATTCTCGACCAAAGTATCATATACAATCCTAAGTTCATCTTCAAATACTTCTTCTGAGCATATAGCTCTAACTCTGTGGCTGAGGGTCTTTACTAAATTTCTTTTGTACTTGATAGTGTAACAACAGAAGACAAGGGCCGGGCAACAGATCGTTTTATTATGAAAATCCAAACGTATTTATACATCTTTCAACTACATTATTATAGACAAGCACAGTCATCTGATTGGTTGTTTAGGTAGACAAACGCAGGCTTCTGATTGGTTGTTTCGGGATTCCTTGACAAATAGAGTTCTCTCTGCGAATCATATTTTGCCACGTCAACTTTGCTGTGATTGGTTGTTGACTCAGGCTTGTTCACGGCCCATATTAGTGACCTAGACCTTAACGTAGATTAGTGCCAACCAATCGGCTAGCAGCCTGCTCTCACCACACTCGTCCCCCCGTCAAATACGTGCGACTGAAGTCGGCTTGATCTACTTGGTGCAGGCGTCATCGTTGGCTTGTCTCGCTGTATCCATTTCTGGAGCTCGCTGACGTTCACGCGCCTCTCATTGTTCGCCATTGCGACTGTGTCTGCGTAACCCCATCTCGAAGTGACCATATATGGTCCTTCCCACTTTGGAAACTGTTTGCCTGACCCTGTCGAACATTCGTCCATACTTCGGCCGACACCTTCATATGCTGCTTTCGCCCGACCTCCCAGCAGCGTCTCAAGTAGCAGCTCCATCGCTGGCAGATCTTGAACGCCACTCAACTGCGCAGAAGCCTTGAAGTCCTGCCCGAAGATCCATATGTCTCCATCAAAAACTGCAGGGTATAGGCTTTTCATTTGTCGGTAGGCAGCGACACCAAATGTAACAACAGAAGACAAGGGCCGGGCAACAGATCGTTTTATTATGAAAATCCAAACGTATTTATACATCTTTCAACTACATTATTATAGACAAGCACAGTCATCTGATTGGTTGTTTAGGTAGACAAACGCAGGCTTCTGATTGGTTGTTTCGGGATTCCTTGACAAATAGAGTTCTCTCTGCGAATCATATTTTGCCACGTCAACTTTGCTGTGATTGGTTGTTGACTCAGGCTTGTTCACGGCCCATATTAGTGACCTAGACCTTAACGTAGATTAGTGCCAACCAATCGGCTAGCAGCCTGCTCTCACCACAATAGGAGCGAAGCTATGAAAATGTGTATATTGTCCCGTCCATGTGCTTTTCCTGAGCGAATTTCTCTTTATGCTACCATCTGGTTTTCTTGTAAATAGGACACCTAGGAAGACAATTCTGTCTTGGGATTCCTCTTCGCACGTGAATTTCATAGCCGAATATACTTCATTGAATTCAGTAATTATTGTACTCCTATCAGAACCATTATCACAAAGAATGAAGGTGTCATCCATATACCGACAATAAAATGAGAGCTTACTGATAAGGTTGTTCAGAGGTCCATTTTCCATCTTACTTAGAAAGAAATCAGTCAGAATGGGACCCAATGGGGAGCCCATCGCCACTCCATCCACTTGCCTGTAAAGAGTGCCGTCAAATTTGAAGTTTACATTTATGGTACATCTTATTGACAATTCTTTTAGGATTTCAAGTACGGATGCCAATGTTTACCGACAGCTTGTCCACTTGTTCACATATGTAGTTAATTGTTTCTTTTAGAGGTAAATTTGTGAATAACAATGTTATGTCCAGAGATTTCATAGTTTTATATAAAATAAAAAGCCCATCGTTGACAAACAGTGTAAATATTTACAACGAAACATACTTGCTTGTCTCTATTACATCACGAAGAAAATCGGTTTGACCAAATTCAGGATACATAAAGAGAACAGGCCAATGGAATTTTCCCAATGAATCCACATGGAATTTCGAGCAAGAGGTTTCTGGAAAGTCAATAGGCTCCAATTTGTGATTTACATTAATTCCACGGGACTAAATAGGTGTAATACGTGACAAGAAAGAAAACAACAGTATGGGAAATGAATCTTAGTAGTAAGAAATTAATTGGTACATTAAATTAGTAAGATACTTATCTATGATGCCTATGCAGCGCTAAATTTTATAAGCCGAGCTGATCATTCATGTAGTGTGATTTTGATTGAATACATATAAAATAGAAAGATTGAGCGAAGAAATACTCACTTTTCAATTAGATCCTCATCTTACTCTGGCTCTACTCTAATATACACATAGAGCATTTTTATTATTACAATACACAACAGTTTACCAATCAAGTGGCACTGATATGTTTGTTAACAATAATTAGTCAGTGTCAAAATATCAATGCGGAGGGTGATAATTAACGAAAAAAATCAATACACACATTCAAAAGGTGGAAATGGTTATAGTGAACTAATTTTACAAGGATAACACGTAATTAAAGCTGAAGTGGTCAGAAAAAATAAAACTAAAATAATTTGGACAATTATAATTTTTATAATTTTATACGTTTAGGGGGAGGGGGGCGAAGTAGTCCCATTTATGCATTCATGAAACGATGGCCAAGGTAATGAAAGTGGCTATACAAATTTCTTCTGAACACACAGGTTTGACTTCTTTTTCAGGTGGATTCCTATTGCTTCAGCTGTAGGTATGTAGAAGACGAACTCGTAGAGCAAAATTAAGATCAGTAGGAATGCGATAAATAATTCTAAACGCAGTATTAACGTCAACCTTGTGCTCACTAGGTGTCTACAAAGTGTGCTAAAATAGAGATACGAATAGATCTTGTTTGTCCCTTGCTTAACCATGTTGGATGATGTTCGGAAATACGATGAATAGATATACCTACCCTTACTGCCAGCTTATATAAATAAAGAAAATAAGAAAATCACAGGATGTTGACAAATTAAACAACAGATCTTGAAGTAACATCATTAGGACATTAAATTTACATCTTCGCGGGGCTAGATTTAAAAGACAAACATTAGAAGATGTAGTCAATGAGATCAATTAAAAAACTCTTAAATTACAATAATTCTATTTTGGATTTTTTTCTTTTTTAATTTTCGAAAATACAATATGTAAGGTCATCCATCATCCTGCTTATGCTGATTGCCGTAACAACAGTAGTGATGTAGTTGGGTGATTGAGTTGCCACCGGTAAGTTACTGGTCTTTGACTGATTTCACATAAATAGTGTACATGATCACTCAGCTACATTCGTTAGTCAGAACTTGGCATACACTAATTTATGTGCCAGGCAATGAGTAACACTTATCGTTACTGCCTACTATCGCCAATGATTTTCCTGATCGCAGTAGACTGGATAATGCGACAGACAACGGGCAATGAGGAAACAGGCATAAAATGGACTCACACAAAAATAGAACTTCGAGGATCTGGACTTCGCCGATGATATATGTCTGATTTCCCACAAACTAGAAGATATGCAAGTGAAGAGCAACAAGTTGGCAGAAGAAGTATCCAAAGAAGATAGGACTTCAGGTGAACATAAAGAAAACAGAGGCGATGAAGATTCCTAGCCAACACTAACAGCAGCAACAACAACAACAGACAACAATCAGCCAGCATAAATGGGCGGAACCTGAAAGAAACAATCTTTTTACCTACCTGGGAAGCATCGTTTCAACTGACGAGGATATCAAAGCAAGAGTCGGAAAATCAAGACAAGCTTTCATTACTCTCAAGTCTATGTGGAGGTCAACAGCACTCAGCATCAAAAATAACATCCGGATTTTCAACTCCAATGTGAAGTCAGTGCTAATTAATATACGGATCAGAGACTTGGCCAGCGCGTCATAAAAAGCATCTCAAACAAACCACAGACCTTCACTAACAGTTGTCTTCGCTCAATACTCACGGTCAGATGGCCGGCCAGAACAGATCAGGAACAAAGATCTCTAGGAGCGATCCAACCAGTAACCGATCGTGCAACAAATAGGCAGGAGGAAATGGAGATGGATTGGCCATAATCTGAGGAAACCATCAAGTGGCATCACTAGACAAGCCATTGCTCGAGTGGAACCCGAAAGGGAAGCGGGTGGCGAGTTGGTCGTCAGTGCAAGGGTGACTTGGAGGGAGTCATGTGAAGAGGAGATGGAAGCGTGTGGGCAGACTTGGAGCGGATTAAAAACTCTGGCAGAGAACCGAACGCAATGAAGACGAGCGACTGAAGCCCTACGTTTCTCTAGGAATTAAAGGAAATAATAACAAATAATATCGTATAAAGGCTAAGAATACTACCCCAGCTGCCGGTGCTGTAATAAATAGGGCTGGATCTGAACCCTGGACCCAATATCTGGAAGTCTCTCGTGACTACATGATCATACAGACAATTGAACATGGTAATCTATATTGTTTATGCTGCTTAGGACATTAGTAGCTACTAGTTAACCGCCACAAAGCTGCTCAATAGTATCAGAAACATTAAAATCATGTTCCCGTCAACAATATTATAACAGGCATACCTTGAAAGCACCTAATAACAGATAGGCCGCTCACGTCAGGAGCTTGTAAGTAATTGGTTGTTTTAGGCTGCCCTATCGCCAGCGACTCAAGATTAAATATGCAAGTGTTTTTAATTTAATCTACCGGAAATATTGGCAGCCAAAGTGGAACAAAACCTACAGAGTCAGATTTTTTTCCGAACACACTATTCACTGACAGTAAATTCCTCTAGACTTAGCTTTTTTTCAAACAGCATTCTTCACGTTACGAAACGTCCACGAAAACTTGACCACTATAATAGACAAGTCTAACCAGTAGCTGACAGTAACATTCCATATGACAACAGAACTTCGTTTCAAAAAGGCTATTCATACAGAGACAATCCAGTTGGATGAGTAGTACTCAGCAAAGCTGGTAAAATAAATGTAAGCGTACTCAATATTTTAAACTCGGAAGGGTAGGTACAGACAAATTATAAGTAAGTAGTTTGACAAGAAGATTGACTGACTGACTGGTTTCAACATAGAACTCTGCACAGACGCCTACCAGTTACAGTCCCAACACTACCTCCTTCGTGGAGCACACAAACCAACACAACACAGTACACAAAGATTCAAAGGCGAGAGAGATAATAAGCGGCAGTGTCAGTGAGGCAAAAACAATAGTAATATATATGGAAGGACAATATACTTTCATTGGATATTATAAATCACAAGGAGTGGATGCATCTGCACCAGTCAACCACAGACAACGACGATTTTCAGCCATATCAATAGTTGTCTTCAGCATTCATTGGTTCCTACCATCCGGAGGACCCCAACCCGGAAGTCAGGCAATCTACACCTCCCGAAGTGGCTGGTTGGCTTAAACCGACTGTTGTGGATTTCACTAATTGATTCCATATTTTGGTCTAACCGCTACCACTTCTTTTTCAACCTGATCCTATGTCAGCTAACATTCCCCGTCAATCGAGGAAGGCGACGGTTAAGCATGAAGATATATAAAAGATGATACTGTATCATTAGCTGATATCAGCTATATCTAAAACATCAAGTGACTATACACTAAAAAAAGCTCTAGAAATGAGAATTGGTGCACACATTTACACCTCCGTAACTGACAGAAACGTTGGTTCATGTAGAAATCAACTTACCTTGACAATATCATGTGCAGCGTTCTCCTCATTTTTCTCTTTGCAATCACCTTTTGATTTCTTTTCAGTTTCTTTATCCAACTCCATTTGCTTTCTAAGGATTTTACACTGTGCTTCTAGTAGTATGGAAGAAGAAGGAAGGATATTTAATCCAGCTGATGCCAGTTGTAGGGCTTCATCAATCCTTGATAGCGCCAAGCATGCTTCAATACCTATCCCACAACTGTTAAAACTTTTAAAATGCATGCCAAACCTTTTACATAAGCTTTTAGGTGATCGGGTGAAAATTTGATGGCAGAATTACAATCTCTAATACACGATCGGTAGTTTTCTAAATGCATCGTAAAATCGAGGAACTAAACATTTACACTTACGAATACAGAAATGACACAATGCCCTGTTCGTATATAACATGGCATTTAATTTACAATCTGAAGATTTAGCAAGCAAACCAGCTGTATAAGATTTTATTGCTTTCACAAACTCTTTTCTTTTATAATAATAATTCCCTTCATCTTTGTAACTAAGAGCATTAGCTAAAAATAAATGATAACTGGTCAGCTGAATGAATGAATTTACCGTCTGGGTCTTCAGATTCAAACTTCAACGCTTGAAGAGCCTCAGTAGCTGGATGCAGATCTGAATTGAGGTCAATTTCTGATACGAATGCAGGATGGTTAACCATATTCTAGCCAAAATTAAACACGATAAGACATACCTCCCAATCGATTGGATCAAAAGGACTATCTTTACTGCTCCCTACATTGTGAGTTTTACTCATTTTGCCTTTTGAAGTCACACTGTATACTGAACTAGAATGAACACGGGACAAATGTAAAAAGAGGAATGTAGAGAAAAAAACATGTATACATGTAAAATCCAGATCACACTTAGGAAATCGACCCTTTATATATCTTCGATATTATAGTAGCGTGATACAATTCATACAACAAACCTGAATTATTTTGTGTGTGTCTGTTATACTTTTTTGGCTAAGATGTTTAGCACGATTTGAGTGCTACAAATGAGTGCCTTTGGTGATGTCATATCCGCTGAAATATTTGTGAGTCCAGAAAAGATGATCAGAAAAACACACATTACTAATCCATAGAGTCTGACTGATAAGTCGAGCAAGGAACAATATGGTAAGTTATCTGACTGCAGCGATTAGAAAGTACCAAAAAACGAGTGACGTCAATGAATAGACACTCAAGTGAATGAACGCACCAATGATACTGAAAAGACCAACTTAGATGAAAGAGTGCTTCTGTTATAAATATATACATATATATGAATCTTTTTCTTCTAGAACTAGAACTGCTGCACATCCGTGCAATGTTCTACGTTTAAACCAGTCAGTGTTGAGCTCACTTGTCCTTGCGCTCCCATAGCTGAGGCTAATATATGCAGGAAACATTTGTCATAAGCCAACTCGAATGCACATTGTCAGTCTAAATTCCAACCTTAATTCCAAATCCTAAACATTACACTAATTTGTAAAATTTTGCCTTTACTAGGTTAGAAAGTAAGATATTCACAAACGTATTTATCATTAGGAGTACAGTTTAATGGGGATGAGATAAGTGGATGGCGAAACAGACGGCAGCCAGCTTAGATCACTGGACTACCGAAATTTCCACCCACCAAAATGCTTAAAATCTTCTGAATTTCTTGTTTTATTCATTAAAGTATATCAAATGACAACTACATGAACCCACATGATTCCAATTAGACACAGTTCAATTCTTGAATGAAGTGAAGAAAAACATTAAAGAATTTGTCCTCTCTTCATATGCAATGACACTATGTCACACGATAGGCTTAGGACCATTACTATACATGTTAATCATGTAAGAAGAGGACGTATTATGAAACTAAATACGATGAGAATTTCTGTAACATTTGTCTACACATTGTTTAATATAAAACCTTATTATATTATAAAAAGTAGCAGAGAACAATGCTGAACAGACCCCGAAAACTCCATCATGGCTGGAATTTTATTTTGATAAAATCAGTGTTATGGAATAATATTAACTGATGACCACGTTCCGAGCACGAATTATTGCTCATAATCATATTAACGCAATACTCACATAACTTTCTTGCTTCATTTATATGCATGAGCAAAAATTGATGATTAGACAAGTGAATAAAATCAATATAAGATAGAGCACATTCGCAAATAATATTAATGTTATCAATAAGATACGATAAGATCAGGAGTTGTCAGATTTTCAGAACATAAGAATTTCACTAAAGTTGAAACGACTGATCACATGAAGATAGGCAATTAAAAGAAAAACTCAGCAATCGCACTGCGTGCATCAACACACAACCCCAAAATATGGTGGGACAGTCAGAGAGGCTAATTACTGAAATCTGGTTCATTGAGTCTACACGCAACTGAACACATGCGCAATATACGTGACTTGACACAAATACCGAAGATATAGGACATATTATTACCAGTCGAATCTGAGGATAATAAGTAATACATTCAACTCACATTATAACATCCTAACAGGTTATTTACTTTTAATGTTAAAACATTTCATTGTATTTTAGTGATGAAACTAATATTATTTCCGAATGTATTGTGTCGCACATTGATTTTATTCACATGTCTAATCAATTTGTACAGATGTATATAAATGAAGCAAGAAAGTTATGTGAATGCCTTGATATGATTATGAGCAATAATTTGTAGTAGAAACACCATAAACAAATAAGGCGGTACAATAGTGTGTGGTTTTATTGACATAAAATTTTAGCCGTAATGGAGTTACACTCTACCTCAGTGCCCAGGTTTTATACATATATCAGACTCAGGAACTTATAAAGGGGTGGTACTTAGCATCCAGAATGTTATTTCATTATGAAACGCATAGAGGCTAACTAGATTTGATATGGCTACAACGATTTGATTACTTATCTCTCGAGTTATCGTGCATATGACTCATGGCATGAGTCACATGCGCATGTGACTCAAGTGAAAGTAATTTAAAACCTCTGAGTTAAAACTCATATTCGTCTAAAAACCAAATCTTTTTAAAACACTCAAGATGCCATTTCATGGGATTTTCAAAAAAGGATTCACATATTGCCTCGTCATACCCTGAATACAACAACTATCAGCTGAGTGACCTTGAAGTGACAATCAGAACTACCGCCGTAGTATCCAATATCCAATAGCTTTACTGGAGTGTGTGTATAAAGACTCAATTTCTTTGCGTTGGCTTCTTCGTCGTGAGGTAAAGATTATTGATTTTCAGTAACGTTAGGCGTAGTCTGCGTTTCCACTTGAGTTCTGAGTACGAGAGGAGTGTTACAAGTTAATGTGGTTTGCAGAGTGCAGTGTTAAGATTGTGCTGTTAATGTGAATGAATTTATTTCAAACCTTTCATATATTTAGTATTTTCTTTGACGGAAAACAGCAACAAAGCAGACGTAACTAGTGTAGAATTTCCAGACTTAAAAGAAAAATGTACGAACAGATAAATTTAGTAATTAAAAAGGTGAATGAATAAGTATAGTAATGTGAGGAGTATGACGCTGGGTAAGTGGCTTTAGACGAAACCTATCTATAGATTTCAGCCGGTAAGTTCCAAAGTGATAGTCAATTAAGATAGGTCCTTGTATAGCTGCGTGATCATCCAACCTCCAACTACAGCTTTTCGAAGAAGGTGTAGTATACACAGGGGAAGGTAAAAAGTTATAACAGTGGCAAGGTCGAGGTGAAAAGTATCGAGACAGCACATAAACTTCTGATTTCTAATATGTGACCCTTCATGGGTTATCACTGGGCGAACAGTAATGATTTAAACAGAATACCTTTGGCTTATTCCGATCATTTGCAGTTAGGTCACTCATAAACCGACGGTAGGTAGGTGTGAAGAGACCTAATTTGCTCGAACGTTTATGGCAGGTTCCGCTCTGGTGACCACTAATTCTTTTTGCTTGCCGTCGGTGAACTCTCTCCAAAGCACTGATGTCCATTTTAAGTAACGGGGGAGCAGTGATATTTTGCACTTCAAGATGCAATGGTACGTATGATTTAGAATCCGATCAGAAGTGAGAGCGCCTTACCATATATCAAATGTGTTACCACATATATCGTCATCACACCACCTATGTAGCTCATGTCTGTGTCCAGTCTTTCCGTTGAAACGGTTTCTATGTCATACTTTGAGGTTGCGCACTACAAGTTGTCATAACCTGCTGTTTACAGAGTTTGTGTACGTAGTTGCACCAATTTGCATTTTTTGGACAGAAAGACATACCAGTAACTTGTGCCCAATCCTACAGAGGTCTCGTGTTTTCCTGAAATACATTTGTAATTTTCAAATACATCACTCCTTTCTGAATTTTTACTCCATTTGGGTAAAGGAGAGCCTGAAGTTTTAAATGGCATGGCAGTCACTGGTAAAAATCAAGAGCATTCGAGAAGTAGTGGTGTAACTCTTTGAAACTCCCGATAAATAAGTGTGCCAGGATGATTGGATGTGATTGAATTCGTCGATGAATTTTCCTCTGTCTATCTGTCTGACAAAATTCAATTGGATGATGATAATATTGAGACTTGGTGTAAGTTGTAGATGGTGCAGATCAACGTGGAATAGTATTGTCTGTTATGCTTAGCTCGCCTTCGTATCGCACCACATATAACTATATACGACAAGCCAGTCACTATTTTTCCTTCTGTACTTGACCTCCTGCTAGGTTACTCCGCTGAATTTATATTCTCTCTATGTCATCAACCCAATTTCTAGAGCCAGAGGATTACTCGGATTGATATTTAATAACTTTCACACCCAAGAATCTAAAATGCTACCATATAAAAAGCACACATAGCCCCTCCTGTCCATTTATCCTAGACAGCATCTCTATTAAAGACAAACTAAAGATTGAAAGTTTCCAATGGAGATTTACAAGTGGAATCTTAGGAACAAGTCTGAAATATCCCTACAAGTGTCGTTGCACAACTGCTAAAATCGAACCCTTTTGGTTCAGACGCCACCGAATTAACCTCATATGATGTGTCCTACACAGGTAGGAAAAAATGTGTATTTTATTAAAACATTATTATTAAGTATGATTGCTAATCGTATATGTAATTTATCAGACTGATGATGCCTGTAAACTGACGTCCCTCATGCACAAAATGAGAATATACTATTATCATTATCCTATTTAAAATTCCCAAAGGAATAATATACTTTCCAAATAATAACCTTTATTTTACTTCCTCAACCTAGGAAATACACAGCAACAAGGGTTATCTAAGTCATATTCTTTGTAAAACGAAGTCTCGTTCTAACTTCTTTACAGTTAAATATAGGCAAATGTCAGCCACGTCTCGTAAACCGTCAATGCCCAGCTCTTGCTACGCTGGGACTCACGCTGTTCCTTGAAGTTTCTCAGAAACGCTTAGTAATAACGGACGCAAAACCAAAACACCGATTGGCTACTCGAGGATTTTTTATTGTAACACCAACACATATCCAACTTTAAAATTAAGCTTTAACTAAGGTCTATGAAGAAATATTACAATAATAAATCACAATATTACTTCTGACAGTTTTGGACTGACTTCTTTCTGAACAGCGACCGATGAGACGATGACCGGTGTATCGATGTCTCCGCGAAAATATAGGGAAGTTGGATTTGAGCAAATAACCATGAATCGATCGTTCAATCTTCAACTACATTGACAGCGAATATGAAACTCCTTGCGGAGTGAAATCAAAACCATTTAACGTTTCACCTATCTAATAAATA